CCCAGAGTGTCTTGGCTTTCCATGCCTGAAATACTCTCATGGGCTTTTCAGCCAGATCTGCATGCCTTAAGGGCTGATTCTGAGGCCAGAGTGCTGTTTAGGACATCTGCCATTCTATGGGTCTGCTGTGTATCTCACTTCCCATGTTGGATCATTCTCTCCCTTTTTTATTCTATCAGCTAGTATTTGCAGACACTATTCTTGTTTATGTGATCCCTTTGGCTCTTAGTCCTATCATTATGATCAATTGTGAACAGAAATTGATCACTGGGACTAGTGAGATGGCATTGGTACATGCCACCTTGATGGGATTGAATTGGAATCCCCTGGTATGTTTCTAACTCTACCGTTTGAGGTAAGTCAGCTTGAGCATGTCCCAAATTGCCCATCTCTTCCCTCTCTTATTCCCACTCTTATATTTAACAGCGATCACTTTTCAGTTAAGTTTCAGCACTTAAGAATAATTGTGTATTGATTACAGTATCAAATTTATTTGAACTTGTCTTTCTGGATCTTGTGGTTGATGCTGTTCTTTTAATTTTTCAGTCTGTGTAGAGAATCACAGCCATGAATAGAACCCCAGCACCCTTTTCTGAGTTTTGTCACACGATTATTTGCATTGGGCCTCAGAATTTACTTCCAAGATATTGTCAGTTCAGAATATTACCTTTGACTCCTTCTGTACTGCAGCCTGTAAAAACCAACCTCAAACACAAATCCAATTTCAGTCCAAATACTTGTCAGTCATAATTTTAATGTATAGGCATCCACGTGGTTTTCTCCTCAGAAGAGAGAAGAGCAAGGAGAACCTGACTCACCTGTGGAATGTTTCTTCTTTCTGGAGGTTTTAAAGGACCTCGGAAAGACAACGACTTTTTTTTTTTTTCAGAGCCGTGAGAGTCTTCCTGTGAAGGGACAGGGAGATGAATTAGACACAGGGTGGTGAGCTGGAGTGTGAGCTGGAGTGTTAGCTGGACCAGTATTGCTGGTCCAGTCACCAGCAACCTGAATAATCTTGATCAAGTTGTTTCTAGGATTCATGATCCATCTTGTGTTACACAGTAGGACAATAAATCTCCAAGATCTCTATAAATTCCTCCATTCTGTGATTATTGGAGACCATTTCTAGAAAGCTTCTTTCCTAGAAAGCCCACACATAGAGATTATTAAGGGCTTGTGTAATTGATCATTTTCTCCAACTTTTCAGAAGATGTGACTAAGTACTCACAATACATAATTTTTTTTTTTTGACAGAGTGGACAGTGAGAGAGAGAGAGACAGAGAGAAAGGTCTTCCTTTGCCATTGGTTCACCCTCCAATGGCCGCCGCGGCTGGCGCGCTGCGGCTGGCGTACCAGGCTAATCCGATGGCAGGAGCCAGGTACTTATCCTGGTCTCCCATGGGGTGCAGGGCCCAAGCACTTGGGCCATCCTCCACTGCACTCCCTGGCCACAGCAGAGAGCTGGCCTGGAAGAGGGGCAACCGGGACAGAACCCGGCGCCCTGACCGGGACTAGAACCCGGTGTGCTGGCGCCGCAAGGCGGAGGATTAGCCTAGTGAGCCGCGGCGCCGGTCATACAATACATAAAATTAAAAGTGGCTTACTAACTAACATCTCCCGAACTAGTTTTTTAAGGAGTGATGTTCTAAGAAAACTGAATAGGTAGGCTACCCCTGCCCTCTCCAATTCCAGTGTTCAGTGAAACACTTGAAGCAATAGTCTCCTCTTGAAAATCCACAGGACGCTGCCCCTCTCTGCCTGTCCTTGATGAAAGGTTGGCTCTGTTGGTCCCTTGACACAAGGCTGAAGGAGATACTGGGTAGAAAATTCACAGGACGTAGCAACACATCAAAGTTTCTGAGAAGTCCTGCAATAGTTTGACTCTATCTTACATGTCCTTCTATAAAGCAGGGTATATAAATTTGTAACATACCCATACATAGGTAGTTTTTCAATCTCATTAACATTCTAAAAGTCAACCAGTTTGAGGGAAGCTGGCTTGAAACTGAGTCCTGAACAATTTGGCTAGAGCCATCTAAATTTCAGGAATTCCGAGCAGAGGGAGAACACTGAAAAATTTAGAGAAAGCAACAATGCTGTTGAGGGCTTTACCAGAAGCTATGTAAAGTGTATCTGTGTAAAGACACTATCTTTATTCTTATTTTTGTTGAGAAATTTTGTTGTTACTCCTTTCCTACCTCCCCCAACTCTTAATTTACACCATCTTCTCTTCCTGAAACTCCTTGTAGATGCTGTTCTTTTCATTAGTTTGTTTGGAAAGTCATGGGCATGAGTAGAACACTGCCCACCCCCTACTTTTCCCACCTGGTTAATCCTTGGGTCCTTGTACCGGATATGGTGCCCCAACAGGCACTCACCACACATATGCGATGTGGCTTGAACATTCTAAAAAATCACCTTATCCCAAGACACACAGTCAGAAAACAGAAGGCATGGTAATTAAGCATACAATTCATAACGAATATAACCAATACTCCTTGCACTATTTCCTGTTTTGCGTTTTGTAGACACAATAACCGCATCATAAAATAAGCAGTTCCTGATGTGATAAATCCCAATCTCTATCAGTGATAATAACAGAAAGATACAGCAGAGATAGTTGAAAGGAGAGGACTTCTGGCTTCCCTTGCCCCCCCACCCCCCAGAATGCACATCATGCCAACTGAGTCTGTATATTTGCGCTGAACCCACTAAATACAGTATGGCACTCCTGGGTATAGTATATATCCTAGGTCATGTACTAGCAAACACTTGCTCAAGATTCTAAAGCTTGTGAGTTTTATGTGTATAATAGACTATGTATGAGACATGCCAGGATAGCTTTTATCAGAGGAGAAACCATCTGGTACCTGCCTTTGAGTTAGAGATTCTGGGGTAGTTTTTAGGTATATGCCTGGGGGCAGGTTGTTTCATTTCTTTGTGCATTGATGTTTCCATATTAAATGAGAACAGTAGCTGGGCCTTTAAAAACTCCTACGTTGTATATACTCTGGTCTCCATGTACTCAGCAACATAAAGTCAACTCTGTAAGCAACAAAAGGCAACTGAAAAAATATCCTTTCTGGGATCACTCTAAGAAGACAAATGAGATGATGTATGTATCCATTATCTTATATAAATGAGAAAATTACTCTATGACTAGCCATTTGTTCTCATCAGCATCTTTTTATAGATTCCTGTTTTCAAATGTACAGTCCTCATAATATTAATATTTAGAACTATAGCATAAGTATATTTGGGAAGAAACAGACTAAGAGTGAAATAAATTGGAATTGGAAAAGGAGGAAGATTGAGATGCCAGAGTTTCAAATGAGAGTCAAATTTCTCTCCTCCATGTCTTTGCCAAGGAGAGTGCGAAAATCACAGAAGTAAGGTCTCTCCTGATCTTCCAGCGATAGCCTAATCATGTATTTGTAAGATTGTTTGCGGCTGCAAGTAACAGAAAGTCATAAACTAGCATACAATAGAGTGGGGATATATTGGAAGTATTTGGGGAATATCTCAGAGAGACAGAAAATCCAGGGGAAAATAAGCTATGAGGAACTGAACCAACAAGTATAAAGTTAGGATCAGGCATCAACCATTCTTTTTTTTCTCTTGCTACATGGTCTCTCCTCTCTGATTTGTTTCAGTGTGACAGTTTCACACTCCCTATAGAAGATACTTGGTTCAGGAAGGCTTTAGATCAGAGGTAGGGATTATGGTTACCATGTAGCCCTTTGCCAGACAGAATGTTTACCCATGGGGCAATTTGTATTGGAGGAGGGAGAATCAGGAACCAAAGCACTGAGGTATAAAGACTTCTGCTTTGTTATGCATCGTACTGCACATAAAAACTTGATTATAACAGAAGAAATCCTTGAAGGGTTATTTAGGAATACAGGTAGAGTCTACTTTCAAACTCTGTCAAACTAATTTTTAAACTATAAATTAATAATCTACAAAGTAATCCTGTAGAGCAAAATGCCTTTGAACAAACAGAAAATATAAAACACAGAGGGAAAAGAAAGCAAAATGAAATACCAGATTTACCTACTTGGACTCAATACATTCCAACTTTCTAAGATGCTTTTGATATGTTGCAAAGGAGTGGTCTTCCCTAAACGAATGAAGCCCCACAACTTTGGAGCAACTACACATAGATATCAATATCCTGCTAAATTATGGTATCTGTTTGGAATGCATCAATCTAATGTTAAAATGAACACAGTCATAGAGGAGGATTTTTATGAAATGCTGAATTTTCAAGTGTAGTTTCCCATGGAAAAGCCACATTGGATATTCAAAAACTACATATATATGTGTATAGAAGGTAAAGATAAGACAGGGACCTTTGAACACATATCATGAATTCTGCACAAGACCAGTGATAGTTGGAAAAATCCCTCTTGAGACTCACACAGACATGATGATCACCATCATTAGCATCACTGCTACTATCACTGATATTTTCATCATCAGTGTAATCCTCTGTTCAGCACTTATTATATGCCTTGCTCTATGCTGGATGCCTTACAATCAGTAGATCCCAGCCTCTCTAAACAAAAAGAGGCATATATTATTATTAACTTCATTTTACGATAAGGAAACAGATCAATGGAAATATTGATATAATTCTTAATATTACACATTCGTTAATAGTGAAGCTAAGATTCCAACCCTGGCAGTCTAATCTGAAAGCCCAATACGACTCCTACATCCACATGTCCATAGTGGATATTCAGAATGACCTGTGATTGGATGGATGACTCTCTCAGTTTGACTATTGTTTGCCAATGTTCTCTTCAGAAGACATGGGTTCTAGTATGTATTTTCTTGGATTAAAACTGAACTCATCACCTTAACTTCAAAAGGTATCAAATAAGTAAAGATCAATGTAATAAAATATGTCCAAATATTATAATGAATACTGTAAGACATTATAGAAGCCCTAATAAATAGAGGGCTTGATTATGTCTTGGATTGACAACATAATATTATGATGATGTCTACTTTTGATAATTTGATCTATAGATTTAAGAAAATTCTAATAAAATATCACCAAGATAGATTTTGGTAGAAATTAATGAGCTGATTCTAAAATTTATGTAGAAACATAATGCCCAAGGATAGCAAGTCAAATTTGAAGTAGAATAAAATAGCTGGAGTACTGTACTACCAAATATCATAAACTGTAATAATTAAGATCACATATAACTGGTTTGAGGATAAAGAAATAAATCAATGGAACATAATAGAGAATTCAGAAACAGATAACTAGTTTATGACAAAGTGATACCACTAGGTTATAGGGGAAAGGAATTTTTTCAGTTAATATTGATGGATCAATTAGTTATCTATATGAGATAAAAAGACAATCATTACCCCCCTCCATTTACACCATTTATAATTAATTCTATAGTGGTGATGTAAATATAAAACAATAAATTTCAGAAGCAAAAATGAAATATTTTCAAGGCATTAAAGATAAACATAGATTTCATAAATGGTACATAAAATATGCGATTAGATAATGAAATAAAATTGGCATTATATTAAATAAAAATATCTATTATCAAAATATTTCATAGATATGTCCCAGAATGGGCTGGACACAGCAAAAGACTCATAATTCTTTGTTAAACTTCCACAAACAAACAAGATGGGAGAAAGAGACCAATGAAAAATGAGCAAATGACTTGAATAGGCATTTCTCAGCAAATGGTATTCAAATAAACAAAACACCTTGAAGAGTTTCTCAGCTTCATGGAAATGCATGTTAAAATCATAATGTACTGCAACTGAATACAGACCAGAATATGTAATGTAAAATCAGGCAGTACAAAAGCATTTGTGAAGACATCAAGTAACTGAGCCTCATACTCTCTGATGGGAAAGAATTATGTACAACCAGTTTAAAAGATTTATTTATTTGAGAGAAGGAGGGGGTGGAGGGGGAGAGGGAGAGGGAGAGGGAGAGGGAGAGGGAGAGGGAGAGGGAGACACCCAGAGACAGACAGCAATCTTCCATCTCTGGTTCACGTTCACTCCCCAGATTACCACAATGGCCAGGGCTGGGCCAGCCCAAAGCCAGGAGTCTAGAACTCCATCCGCAGTCTCCCACACAGTTGGCTGGAGTCCAAGGATTTGGACCATCTTTTGCTGCCTATCAGGTACATTAGGAGGAAGCTGAATTGGAAGTGGAGCAGCCAGGAATCAAACTGGCACTCATATGGGATACTGATGACACAGGTAATAGCTTAATTCACTGTGCCACATCTTTAATTGACAAATAAATACTGTATATATTTAACAGGTTGTCAGCGTTTTCAAAGATATTTGGCAAGACCTACTAGAGTTAGTCATGTTTCTGATCTTTCATCTAGAAATTCCTCTCTTGAGTTTCTAGGCCTCTACGCAAAGAAAAAAATTGAGGTATATATTTACCAAAAAACATACAAGACTGTTCAGAACAATATCCAGCAACCCCAAAACTGGAGACAACTTAAATGTTCAAAAATATGATGGAAAACTGGTAGTATATTCATGTAAAGAAAAGTAGACCAAAATGAAAATAAAGAAACTAGTATCAGTCAAAAACATACTCCTACTTGAGTCTCACGGTGTTGCACAAAATAAATACAAAGGACATGTTGTGTGATCTCATTTATATAAAAAATTATATAAAATGTTAAAAAGCACAGGAACTAATCTATAGTGTTAGAAGCTGTGAAATGAAGGGAAGTTTTCTGGGGTGTTAGCACTTTTTGTTTTTTGATCCACCTGTATATTTACTTTATGAACATATGTCTAACTGTAAATTTGATTTGTGAACATATTTGTAATGATATGGATTTTCATCTCAAAAAAAACAAAGGAAAAAACCCTGGAATTTACTTCCATTTCAGTAATTCTTGCTAAAATGTTTCTCATAAATAACTCTCTCTATGGTCTGCTTTGCATGGTAGGTAGTGCTTTGTTTACAACAGATAAGATTTGTGAACTCTGGGCACATGGATAGATTGTGAGAGGACAGATGCTATATTTGTAGATGCTTACCCTCTTGTGCTGCGTTAATGAACCTGCTGAACAGGTGCAGACAGAGTGGTGTGCGAGTCACAGCTGAGCTGTACACGCCCAGGAAAAAGATGAAAAATATGGGTCTAATCAATGATTTGGTTGGTGAAGCACCTTAAAGACACTTGATGCCCAAGGAAAACAATGAGGATAAATAAGGGGCCTTTGGGGTTGGGTCCTCAGGACAGGTTGTCCCAAAACTTCCTCTTCTACAGCCTTGTTATTCCAATCAGCAGAAGGGAGGGAGGCAAGGTTGAAGCAGATTTCCTAATTCTACACTTAAAAAGCATTAAATTGCTTCACATGATCATTTCTGACAAGGAAATGTGGAATGTAAGAGCAAAGAGACAACTGATAAGGTAGAAATACCTTCTGACCTTGCTAGACTCACCAGATAATCTTCCCAGTTTTCAAAGACCAGAAAGCATCTTGCTTCTACTAAATTGAACTTCAGGCTTTGAACTTAAGATAACAAATATGTCATATAGAAATTGGCCTCATTTCAGGCATACAAGAGAGGTTCAAAATGCTCTTACAGCATTTTCCTGCCATGTCACGTGAGTACAT